GGTAGAATTTATTCGACAAGACAATCAGCGGTACAGTACTGTTTCTTGGTTTCTTGGTTCATTGCCAGGGTTTCTTGTTGTTGCTAATTCTGCATGGTTAGCCAGCCTATCATCTGATCTTCAGTGTGAAGTCAGCGAAGGGGGCGGCTAATGATAAAAGTTTGCACTAGCCTGTTCACCAATTTGCTAACCCATACAGAGTAAGTGACTGACTGAGGGGCTTGACATTTGTGTTGAATAGAATCCGAATCTTTGTTTTTTATGCTGGCTTGCTTGCTTGCTGGCTTGCTTGCTGGCTGGCTGAGTGAGTGAAGCAGAAGATCCCCAAACTGGTTTCATGTTGATGAAGGTGTATCTTGCCTTTCCGGTTCCAGCTGGCTAGCTTCGAAATCTTCATCCGTGTTCTCACCTGTGGTTGAAATGATGATGTCTGGCTAGGTAAATGAAGGAAGCAGCCTCTTCCAGATTTCTCCCGTTGATCTTCATCACTTTCGTCTTCTCTGTGATCACCTGGAGTCGTGTCTTCACTGCCAGCCTCTTCAGCCAGTTAGCTGCAAGTCTTCTAGTTTGTGTGACATAAAAAACATAAATCATGCACACATCAAATCTTGATCTTCTGGAGTCTTCTTATCGGTTATATCTATTTCTGTTGTCTCACTCTCCACGCACTGTCTGAGGCATAATCCAGTCCACCACAATTAGGAATATCATTCAAGGGTGATCATAGGAAGCCATCTAGCCTTGTCTTTCTCCTGTATTCACTTCGAAGCCAGTCTTCGCTGAGTTTTCGATTGTCTATCACCTGACATATGATAGGTATTGTCATATGGCCAGCTGGGCAAAGTTAAACTTTCGACACCACTAACAACCAATCAGCAAACGACCTCGAACGGACCAATCACATTAAAGAGGCATATATGATGAATGGAAATGTATATTTATAGAAAAAAGCATAAAATAGATAATAAAAAAGGTTACATGGGATATCTTTCTCGAACATGTGAGAGAAAAATCTCCCAGTTTAGCATGGGACTGTCAATGCAGAAGTTACACCATATCCTGTACATATATTCATCCAAATGATCATAAATGAGCTCCTTTTGAGATACATTTATAGCCCTTATCCTATTTTCCAACCTGCCCCAAAATCCTTCAATAGAATTTGTATGTGTCCTCGTAACGGGATCCACAAAATCACTTCAATGGTTGGCTCTATGATGAATATATCCCAGAGATGACAGCGAATTGTAGCCTTCCCACTTGTCCATGTGTATAATTGACCCACGCTTAACAAGTCTGGTAACAATAGGCATAAGAGTAGTTGCTTTTCTATCTGCTATCCTTAGGGAGAGAAGCGACCTAGCGGAAAAAGTTCCTACGAAATAATAAAATTATCAGCATACCCTCTCTAGTGTTAGTAGGCTTCAAACATATAGCACAACGATGAACAAACCCATCAGTTGATTTGGTTTAGCTTTTTAAAGTCATGATACCACCACACAATCAAATTCGTTCTTTCCGGAGCAACTGAAATCTAGGAAATACTGGGAAACACTAACCTCCTCGAATTGCAACAACAGCCTTGTAAGGTCACGCATTAGAAATGAATCAGGCGCTATACAACATTGAACTGCGTTCGTGAACCTCATTGGATAATTCGACATCGTTCGTGAATCTCATTGGATAATTCGCTGATTGGTAGTTAGTGGTGTCGAAAGTTTAACTTCGCCGCCAGCTGTTGTATGAGGTTGATAATGATTTGGAAACCGCACGTTGTAGTATTGAAGTGGCTTGTAAATTACATCCCTTTCAACATTGGAAAAGGCCCTTTCGAGGTCAGTGAAGTTGAGGTAGAGAGTGAGATTTGGCCGCCATTCAACGCTTTGTTATATGATTACGATGCGTAGAGTTGCAATTTAATCAGCACATGATTCACCTTTCCTGAATCCAGCTTGTTCCGAGCTGACGGTGTTCTGCATCCAGGGCATCTTTTATTCTCTCTGGGATTACAAAACGTAGTATTTTACTTAGTATATACAAGGGCATTATTCCGCATCAGTTCTTGCAGAGAACTAAGTCACCATTCTTTGCTGGCTTGATGAGTTACCTCCCCTTCCTTACAAATAATTTTCACTAATGCCATGAGCACATTTGCCGGTCTGTTAGGATGGTCATTTTAAGAGTCCTTTGAAGCGATCAGTCCATTGTTTTACTTATTTCTCACACTTGGTTATTAGGTCTCCTTGAACATATTTTATAAGTTTCACTTGCTTTGATATCTTCCGAGAGAGAGAGAGAGAGCTGGTTTTCTGATAAGATGTTCTGAGGTCACTTTTGCCTGCGAACTGCATGTTCTGCTTTATTTGCCGGCCAGTTTGTCGTAGAATTGTCTTTTGTTCTTTCCGACACTCATCTTTACTTCTTTATTCGATGCAATGTGGATTGAACTTAACGTCTGCTTCTGTTCTCCATAATTGCACATCAAATTCACAAGAGAAGAGGAATCCGAGAGCAAAATCCCAACTTTGGACGTCTTGGTCAAGCGAACAACCAAAGGAGAATAAGAAACAAAAGTTTATAGAAAATCAACGCACACAGATCAAATACTCAATTATACTGGCAATGATCCAATTACTCACTCACAAAAGAAACTGTGTGCAGACATTGTTTAAAAGAATTCAAACACAACACTGTAGCACTCCAGAATTGGAAAGAATGGAAGAAAAGTACTTACAAACGGTCTTCAAAAAGAATGGATATCCTCCACAAAATTTCATCAAAAAGTGTTTAAAATCGAATCACAACACCAACAAAGGACCATCAACAAAGAACACAAAAAAATTCATCCTACCATACATGAAAAATATCTGTGAAATAACAGGTAGAATACTGAAACCGTTTCATATAGATATAGCACACAAGCCAGCCATTCAAATCACTTAATTCGAAAATATACAAACCAAAGGATCCAACGGAAAAAGGAGATAAAATTAATACCATTTACAAAATAAATTGTACGTATGAAGGTGTGGAAAGAGGGGAAAGTACCCGAGGATTGGAAGAACGGATACTTATTCAAACTACCAAAGAAAGGAGACTTAAGTCAATGTAAAAACTGGCGTGGAATTATGCTTCTGTCCATTCCAAGCAAGATACTAAGTCGCATCATCCTGGAGAGAATCAAACAAGCCCTAGATGAAAAACTTCGTCCGGAACAGGCCGGATTCAGGAGAAACAAATCATGTATTGATCAAATCGCCACTCTACGGATCATCATTGAACAAAGCTTAGAATGGTAGTCACCTCTCTATCTCCCTCAACTTCATCGACTTCGAGAAGGCCTTCGACAGCGTCGATCGAGAGGTCATTTGGCAACTACTTCGCTACTAAGGGGTCCCATTGACAATTATACATCTCATCCAACAGTTATACAACAATGCTCCATGCCAAGTAATCCACAACGGGAAACTTACAGAAGCCTTCGAAGTGAGGACGGGAGTGAGGCAAGGCTGTCTACTATCACCAATGATCTTCCTGATTGCAATTGATTGGATAATGCGACAGACAACGGCAACCAACGAGGGAACAGGCATAAAATGGACTGACACAAAAGACTTGGAGGATCTGGATTTCGCCGATGATATATGCCTGATTTCCCATAAATTGGAAGATATGCAAGTGAAAAGTAACAAGTTGGCAGAAGAAGCATCAAAGATAGGACTTCAAGTGAACATAGATAAAACAGAAATAATGAAGATTCCTAGCCAACATCAACAGCAACAACAACAACAGACAACAATCAGCATAAGTGGGAAGAACCTGAAAGAAACAACCTCCTTCACCTACCTGGGAAGCATCGTCTTAACTACAGGCGGAACTGACGAGGACATCAAAGCCAGAATCGGAAAAGCAAGACAAGCTTTCATTACTCTCAAATCTGTGTGGAGGTCAACAGCACTCAGTATCAAAAATAAGATCCGGATTTTCAACTCCAATGTGAAGTCAGTGCTACTATACGGATGAGAGACTTGGCGAGTCATAAAGAGCATCTCAAACAAACTCCAAACCTTCATTAACAGCTGTCTCCGCTCAATACTCAAGATCAGATGGCCAGAAAAGATCATCAACAGGGATCTCTGGGAGCGAACCAATCAGGAACCGATTGTGAAACAAATAGGCAGAAAGAAATGGAGATGGATTGGCCATACTCTGAGGAAACCATCAAGTGACATCACTAGACAAGCCATCGCTCGAGTGGAACCCGAAAGGGAGGCGGCGAGTTGGTGGTTAGTGCCAGGGTGACTTGGAGGAGGTCATGCGAGGAGGAGATGAAAGCATGTGGACAGACCTGGAGCGGGGTGAAAAAGTTGGCAGAAAACAGAAGGCAATGGAAGTGCGCAGCTGAAGCCCTTTGTTCCTCTAGGAACTAGAGGATACAATAATACAATAATGATAATAATGAACTGTAACAGGCATTACATCGGCCAAAGTGGGTGTCCCCTTCGAACTAGAATCCAGGATCACAAATCAGCCGTGAAAAAACACGATATATATTCCTGTTTCATATCAATGCATATTGACAATTAGGGCCATCAGTTTGATAACTGGGATAATGTCGAAATCTTAGATAGGGGAAACACGAAAAGTGCAGTGCCAGGGAATTCCTTGAAGCCTGGTACTCAAACGAATATGCAATTAACAAACACGTTAATATAGACGAAATATAGCAACTAATAAAAAGTAAATCATGTGACCAGAAGGTTAAAGATCCAAGTCAATAAAAAAATGAACAATACATATGTAAAGCTGGTTACGGAGAGACGCAGTTCAATCACTCATAGAAAATTTAAATCCGTTAACTTTATGCTAAATATTGCGCTGAAGGTGGATGTTGTTCAGAAAGGGGACGACGGAGCTCCGCAACTAAACCAACCAACCAGCTTAGAGAACACTATTAATTGCATATTAGAAATATATATATATATATATCGACTGCTTACCTGAGTTGCTATAAATGCATTCTGTTTTCTATAACCATCAATATAATTAGCATTGATATAATCAGATCCTGATATATTCATATGATTACTTGATTGTATTGTCACCCGTGTACGATCATAGGCTAATATATTTGGATATCGATTTTTTGATTTGTTCATATCTAAATTTGAATGTACTGCACTGATATATCGTGTCTTTGATATCTGTTCTATAGCTTGAAATTCTTGTTGAAAGTTAATATAATTATTACTTCTTGCCTGATAAATTATTTCTTGTAATTGGTCAACTGGTATAGGCATACGATGAACTGAAAATAATTATACAGCCGTGAAAATTTTGTATTTAGATTTATGCTACTTATGAGTAGATAGTAAATTATATGTATATTTTACAAAACAAACATTTTTGATGGCGCGAATTTAATGTGCTATAGAGCATTATTATTATTATTCCCTTGGGTTCCAAGTAGAGCATGCGACTTAAACAACACATCTTCATTTTCTTCTATTATATGCTGTCCTGTTCATCTGAATGGGTCCACAGCTGTCCACAGTCTGTCATCTCCTCCTCCCCAACACACTATCTCCTCCATGGCACACTCGCACTGATAACCCAGCCGTAGTTTGCCATTCGGGTCCCACTCGAGCAGTGGCTTGCTCTTCAGAGAACAGAGTGAAGCCAGTCCTCTTCGTGACACATCAAGTTTCTGACGCATATAGAAGATCTGACTGCACATTTTTGCTGCAAATCATAGCACCCAAGTATTTGTATCCTAACCGGAATGAAAGTTGTTTCGTAGTAAATAGTAAGTACACAATTCTTACGTGCCATTTAGTAAATAAGAGTTCCCAGTAGGATAAGAGGTTGATATTAGTTAATGCATCACTGGGAACCAAGGAGTACTGGACAGTTGTTTCGCCCTAATTTGAGATTCATCTGCAGCACAAAACCCAGGAGTGAACAGCTGTTCAGTACTCCTTAGTTCTTGTTTGTTCTCTAATTGACGTCATTCAATCACTGAATTTTAAATGAAACAAATCCCTACTAACCAGTACTTGAAAATTCATCTGACTCTCACTGTCGACCGGCTACAGGATGAAATTGCCTGAAGACTTTGTAAGAATTCATGACTAGTGGGGCCTAACAGGTCGGTTGTAAGGATATATATATATATATATATATATATATATATATATATATATATATATTTGCAGATGACATCGGCGGGCAGTTATGCCGTATATGGCGGATCAGTAGAATCACAGGCCTTTGTGTTAGATGCCTGTGACTGAATGGTGTATGGGCTCTCCTCGTGATGTGAAGGTATTGCATTCAATCCCCAGTGGAGCCCTGGGTGCGTACTGTTGAACAGTCTTGAACCTAGGCAGAGTGACAGGTATCCAGCTATACCTATATTAAAAATGCTTCGCTAACTGACCCAAATATAATGGTTTAAACTTGATTAAAATATGAAGCATTGGAAAAATACTTCTTTATGAGAAGCACTCAGTCACAAACTACGGAGTATGGTCCACTAGGTTCAATGTAAAGCTGATATTCACCAGCCATATTGGTCAGCGATCGCACTTTATCACAAAATTTACTAAATTTAAAATTCATATACCATTCTGAAAGCATGAAATTTTTTTGGAATTCGATGCCTCGTATGGTCATGGGTACGCAGTGCTAGACACCCCAAGATTTGGATGAAAAATCTTTAAGCTTCCCTCTTTTGATCTGTATTAATTCACCTAGTGGAGCTGATTTCTCCGAGTCAGTTAAATTCTCAAACTTGTCAAAAGAATTTTGATTTTGATGGAAATGTATAAGTGGTGCAATATAAGGAGCGCGATAATTCAACATCTGGTTAACACTGATCATTCCATCTCGACAAACGCCTTCTGCTTTAAAGTAATCTACACAGTCAAGAATAACCTATCAAAGTCAATACAATTTCGTCTTCTTTGTATCGCTAAAGCTCTGGCCGTCCATTCCCGTAGAAAAACTGGAGCTGTGCATACAAAAGAGGATTACTCACCCACTTCTACTGTCATGGTAACAACTTTTTTGATTTTGATGACTTAATTTTATGTCTTTGCTTGTTCTTTGATTGCTTATAATTCTTTAATTGTTTGTAATTCTTGTATTCATTCAGAACTCTTATGTAGTTTCGTATTATCTACTTTGTTACTATGTAAATCCTGAATAAAACTCACTCATTAAACTATTCATATTATTACATAACTACTTTTAACAGCTGTTTTGTGACAACTCATCACCTTTGTTACTACCCTGATTTCATTAACACCTAATTTTCTTAACGTTTTTGTATAACGTATAACTCCACCAAAAACTTACTAATTTTCACCTGTTTAGTTAAAATAACCATAGCCAATTGTATTTTCGTTTGACAAACTTAATGTACACATACATGCAAAATAACACATATATATTTGCGGTTGTACAGCTGGGAAAATGAATTCGCCGTTGAAAAGAGACTCTCCACTGAACTACGTGTTTTGTTTTCATAAACGTATAAGAGACTATTTCTACCGCTGGTGCCCTTTTCAGTTCTAAACCATCCTTTTCATGAGTCAAATTTTCTGGCAGAATATGCAATTAACTGAGAAATCCGCTCCAAAAGACGATTCATATCTCAGGGGAACGGCATTTCGACTGAAGGTTTCAACTTGCTAATGACTTTCAACAAGGAAGAAGAAAACGTATATCACCCAGCACTTCCTGGCAAGTGACCAGTTCAACATAAATTTCTCTCAAGTGTTGGTTTGCAGGGATTTGAATGGTTACAGTATGGCGTATGCTACTGATAAGATTTGTCAGTATTATGCAAAGAGACATTCATCGTCACACAAAAATATCAAATAGCAGGCGGATAGATTTGATTTTAGAAAAAGCAAATGATTCCGTATTGAAGGGAAACAGGGGAGACGTGAAAAGAAAACACAAAGAAAGACACACAATACGAAGGGAGGGCAGAAATAGTACAACACGGAAGATATGTGAAAATGATGATTTGAAGATAAGCTGTACATAATTTGGCTATACAGAGATGCCAAGCCACTGGTCTTCTACCCTTACAACAGGATTTCACCATGAGTTGACATCAGTTAGAGGCCCATTAGAAAACCAGCTGGACAACTTTTTCACCAGGCTAATTTCAGCCTCTTCATCATTAATCATCTACTGCCAGGATCATAATCCGGGATCTTCAGGTTTTTGTAATCAAGAAACAAGTTGTTCTAATCATGTAGCTGAAATTAAAAGTATAATGTTTAAGTGAACCTCCTGTGCGTCGATGGCACAGCGGTTAAGACGCTTGCCGATTAAGTACATGGTCCGGGGTTCAATCCCCGAACGCTAGACGCACTCCTTTACCTCGCTAAGCCAGAAATAAAAACGCTGGTAAAGAGGAAAGGTTGGGAGTGAGGCTAGCAACCCCATCGTGTAAAAAAATAAACACCACTGCTACAGAATCTAGCTTGAAGCCATCAAGGAATAAAAAATAAACCTCCAACTTACTTTCAATAGTTCCATCACGAAAAAGTTGATTAAAATTTTCCATCATACTTGTTGTACCCGATTTCGACTGAATATTAAACATTGGTCTATTGACAATGGCTTCAGCAGTGGTAGTACTGTTTACACTTCTTGTTGGTGATTCACATTTTTCCACCGAACTGTTGTTTATACTATTCATATGTACAGATCTAGTAATTATCGGTGATATGTCCGATATAGTTAATTGATTTGTTGATGATGCTAATGGCGACATGATATTTGTACCGACGGACAAACCACCTGTACTAGGTCGTGGTAGATTTATGCCGAGTATACCACTGCTTGAATTCGATGGACTACGTGATCTTTCTTCTGTACGAATATTTAAAAAGTAATTCGATGGATGAGAATTTATAAAACTATGATTATTATTATTATGATCATTTTTTGAGGCAAAACATTTAATTTGTGAATTATTATTTGATCCAGATAAATTTTCATCAGCAGCAAATATTGATTTACTCAAATCTCTGCAGATTTGTGCATCCCATTGATTACTTGATTCAAGGGCTGATCGACGGTTCAACTGGTGTTTTCTACGCCGTAAAATACAACCAAGTATTGTACTCAGGATAGCGAAAAATATTAGTCCACCGGCTAGACCAATCAAAATGAGAGTGAATGAAGATGACTCATAAAGGTTCCATGAGGATGTTTTTTCTTTGAGTGGTTTCAGATTTGACAGTCTGTTAACATTCTCTGAAAGGATGGATGATATTCGCTCAGACCATTGACTTGTTGAACATAACTGACGACCATCGGAATACTAGAGAGAAGAAGGAGAATAGAAAGTTTACATTATAAAAATTATTTACATTTTTATTAATTTATGTACGTTGGTGACTCACTGGTCGGTAGAATACTCACCAACTGTGTGCGTGGTCCGAGGTTCGGCTCCTAAACTCTGCTTAGTCATTAGTAGGCCTGGCGAAGATGGGAAGTCAGGCATAAGACTAGAAACCTTATCTCCTGGAAAGGAAAAAACACCACTGTCAAATATCTAGATTGCAGAAATCCTAGACCTATCGCTTGTTTCGGAAGACTAAGTCTAATATGCAGAAGACTATGCCATTTAGCCGATGCAGGACAACAGGAAACGTATAGGCGGCAGGATAATTTAAGCGATAACGAAGCTGATTTATAACGGTTAATCAGTGACAAGGTCTGTAAATAAAGGTTAATACAATGTGCAACAATACCTCTGATCGTATTTCTCTAATCTTCTGCCAACCAGCACCAGATTAAAAGTGATGGCAGCCTTCTTATCTCCCGCCAATATGCCGACTAGTTTGAATAAACAAACGATTCAATGTTCAAGAGTATTGACAACCGCTTCTAGTGAAACTTTTAAACTTAAAACCGCATGTCCCACTAGGAACATTTGCGCTTCAATATGTCAAATATTCTTTTTGGGTATAATTATACTACTTAAATTGTATTACTCAACGCTTTACCCAATTCAGGAAACTAGCTTGAAATAAGTATAAAACTTGGGCACTGTGGTGGTGCAGTATAACTCCATTATACAGATAAGATTTTATTTTGATAAATCACACAGTGTGGTTATTCAGTAACTAACCAGGATTCAGAAATCAATCTCTTTCTCTCTCTCCACCTATGTTATGTACTTGTTGCCAAATTATTGTTATATACTGGTCGAGAATTTAATAGTCCTGACGCAAGAAACACGGAAATCAGAAGACCACTAGGTTTGCGATGATACTTCTATTTTCCAAACACAAGGAGAATCAATATGTCACACAAGAGTGTGAGAGCAAAAATATATATGAATGTCCGAACAAGTGTGTGAACAATTCAATAGACAGTCTTAACATGAGTGGCTAATTGTAATGGAGTATCGATCCATATATACATAGCGAAATATAACAGACTGTCAAACAAACACACATATTATATGGATATATATATATATATATATATATCACCAAGAACAGACTGTCAACAAACACACATATTATATATAATATAAGCGGAATATACATTATTAAAGGAGACAGGTTCATCAAAGTGAAATGGTCACAGACTAAGAGAGCAACAGAAAGAGAGACCACCATACACAGACATATATATATATATATATATATATATATATATATGGATACATATCAACCTACATAAATAACTTTTTAGAATTTGGACTCTTTCCCTCCCGCCCTATTGTGTGATTGCGTGTTAGCGCATGCAGGGCAATTGCTGAACTGTTTTCTAAATCACTTATCATCACAGGGTTTAATCATTCTCACCTGAGCTAAATCCCTGTGTTCTGATAATCTCACTACTCCTGATCTTCTAGTTTGACCTATACAGTTGACTTAACTCGCAGTCATTGTAAGGTATTTTGTAAATTATATAAATTGGGTCCACCGGGTCGTTTATCCTACAGAGTTTGTCCTATCTGAGTGAGTTATTTCCCATCTTATTGTATTTTATTGATAACACTAATATTATTTCCGGATGTACTTTGTCGTCCATTCTGTTTCACGCAAGTCTTATACTGATTTTATTCAAATGTCTAATCCATTCTTACTCATATGTGTAAATGAAGGAAGTTATGTGAGTAGCGCGTTGATATGATTATGAGTGACAATAATTTGTGCTTGAAACGTAATCATCAGTAAATACTACTGTACAACACTGTGTGATTTATCAAAACTAGCTGGAATTTTATTCGTGCAATTAAACTACTTAAATTTTATACAGTAGACAGTGTTGACGAATAAAAATGTTGAGTTCGTAGGTGAACAGCTAATTCAAGGCAACTTAGAGTGTAAAGTTTCAAATAATTTGATATTTGTTATTGACCAACCGTTTATTTATCATAATGGGATATTTCATATGAATAGTCATTTGAATGACGCCTTAGGTTACCGGAGTGGATGAAAACTGTGGTAATTTACATATTGTCCCAGACAGATGGAGTTACTGTAGACCGATATTCTCATTGTCGCGTTAAATCGGCGAGTTATAAGTACCTGTAAATATAGTGGGCACTCCTTATTTTCTTCCATGCAGGTTAACCGTACTCCACTTTGTACTGTGTTCATCCAGTTAGGATTCCCCGTACCATCCGTTAATACGTTGATCTGTCTATACGAAACCTAGCTGGAAGGGGCTTTAACTGGATTATCATAGTTAGCTGAATACCTATTCAGACGTATTCAACCCGCGATCAGAATATCATTAAAAAAGGAACTTCAGGACTCCATTGAAATGTTATTAGATAACAGTGATCCTCTGAAATCTATTAAACGCAATACAAGCGTTAAACAGAAAGCTCTACCATTGTAATCCGCCTCCCAAGAGGATCTCTGCATAACTCTACAATTCAGTGATGATTACCAAATCTCATTCACCAAAATAAAGACTCATAATGGCGGTAAATACAACTTACTATGTAGTTGAACCCATTCTCATAGAGAAAACGAAATCTACATCATCCTGTAAATCCTAACAGCATATGAATAATAGTGTCGCATCTCACTGTGTTTATCAATTTTCATGTGTGTAGCCACATGTTCATTTTGGGGGACCGATGAATTTCTACATATTATCATCAACTGGCTGCAGGGACCAGGTTTTTTTTGTTCCTCTACATTCTGAGTGGGAAACAGGGCTTCAAACTTGAGCTCTTAAGTTTCGGTAGCAGTGGCTTTATCTTTACAGGATGAGGTTGCTAGCCTCACGCCCAAACATACCTCCTTACTGGCCTTACTACTAAATTAGTGAGTTTCAGGACTGGTTCGACCGGGGATCGAACCCAGAACCACATGCATGATCGATGTACATTGTACTGTTGAGCCACTGATGCACTAGAAGAACGACTAAAATTGCTTAATTCAAGTGAATCTGAAAATAGACGCCCAACATTATCTATCACCTATCATGAACATGAGTGCCTTTAAAACCTTGTATATATATATATATATATATATATATATATATATATATATATATATATATATATATATATATATATATATATATAACAAGTTCAGTTCATTAACTTTATTTTGATGAAACCTTAGCCATAAAAAGATGATTAATTCCTTCTCATTCAAAAAATTACTTATTTGGTTTGTCGATGAAATCATCCTTACAGGCTGTACTCTACAGTCATTGAATTGAATTTTCGATTTTCCCGTCGATTGATTGGACCGAATAGGATGAAATGCGCATCCTGGATTCCACTGCTAGCCACCATCCACCAATTGTGTACTGTACAGTCGTCTTTATATTTACCGAAAATGCATACTCTAGTCAATTAGTGAGTAACAAACGGTGACATAATTGATTTAATTACTCAAAAGTGGCTTTAGAAGTAAAAAATAAAAGTTATAAATTACGTAATACTCAACGGAACAGAGGAAAAAAGCGTTAGATACTTGATAAGGTTAAAATTGCTATTGAGTGAGAATAAAGTTGGTGGTAGTTGAGTGTCAATTTAGCAAGTGTGAAGAGGGTGAGAGAATGTACAAAAGGACCAGGTAAGAGTGATAATAATGAATTAATTATTAAAGTAAAGGCGAACTAAAAGTATATTTAAAATGTTAAAAATTAAAATTTTTTTACACGGAACGACTAATGAAGAGGTTAAAACCATGGTAGAATAAGAGACTGAACAAACTTTTTCTATATTTTACAGTTCGGGGTTGTATTGATGACTTGCCAGCGCCTCCGCCACACACAAAGGCCGAAACCTAACTCCATTTGTACCACTTGGTCACACCTTGTAGACAATTTTGAAAGACGACTCTGGTGGACATTTTTGGCCGGAGTTCATTAAGTGCTCGAGAATTGAGCTAGTAACTTTTTTGCATTTTCAACTTGCTGACCACGCCGGATAGTGTTCAGAGATGCATTTGGAAAGTGTGCGCTTTGTGCAGCGAATATAAATAGAGCTACACACGAGTAGGTGAATTTATAAACACACATTGAAATGGCCCAGACTGGCAGCAGTTTATCCTTCACACATCCAATGATCATTTATCGGCTGTAGAAATTGATCCACGGCTCAGCTGTAAAGAAGGCTTTCCTCAGTGATGTGCATAAGCGATTCTTTTTCTTGCTAAACTGACATTCAACTAACACCATCTTTCTTCTCAGTCAAAATAACAATTTAACGTCATCAAATTTCTGACTTTGTGCCGTTGAGTACCATGTAATTTACAACTTTCATTTTTTAAATTATAAACCCACTTCTGAGTAATTATATATCAATTATGTCATACCCTCCCCTATTGCTCAATACTGAACTACAATACGTTTTTGGTCAATATAAATACGATTGTACAGTGCAGCCTGTGAAGATGATTTCGTCAACAAAGAAAATTTTCTTCGCTGAATTTGTTTTTTATTTTCTCTCATGACTTAGTGGTTACATATTTTTTACTTTGAACCTGCCTTGTCAATACAACGTAAAAGTCAAGATGTTCAGTACTTGCTAACTTACATTGGCGTTTATGAAATGTTCTTCTAAAGTTTACTCTCTCATGAAATACACTTTACGATTTGATATGTTTGTGAGCGGTAAACTGTACTCAAAATGTCATGCAGTTGTAATTACTGTATCGGTCACTGTGTTGTATGCGAAATCAGCTTATATGATATTCTAATTTACTTATTACTTTGTTCCCTTATTTTTCCAGTGGGACATATGGCTTCAAGCTTGCGGCGTTTATTTTTACAGGTAGTATTGTTAACTTCACCTTCAACCTTCTCTCTTTATCAACTTAATGAGGTTAAAGA